TTATCTGAACCGGTTCTGGGCCCTCGCCTAGGTCAACTCGACCTCAAATGACTACCCGGTGCGGTGTGTAGTAGAACATCGACACCGGGGAGACAAAGGCGGTCGGGCGTGGTTCTGGCCACCTCCCCCTCGTGTACCGTTCCGGCCTTCATTGGCGCTGCTCGCTAAATGCACTTTCCCCAACAGTCTGTTGAAGGCTACAGGGGGGACCTTTGTCTTTGCCGTGCCTAACGGGCTCTTGTGGAACCCACGTGTCTCTGGAGCGTGCCCCGCCCCCCGGGCATGGCCCTCGGGCGCTCTCCGCTGAGTCTTGAGAACGCTGAAGGTGCATCAATGACAGCCCTGTTCTTCACCTGAGGACGGCTGCTTGCGTTGTGGCCGAAACGTCGTGAGAATTTTATTTTATTATGTTTTATTTTTATTATTTCCCTTCTATGTGACTTAACCGAAAGAACCAAGAAGGTGCATCAATAAATTTAGCTGTGACGGTCCCACCTGATGACGGAGACTTGTGTTGCCTCCGAAACGTCGTGATTTATTATTGTATTTCTATTATTTATATTTTTTTATTTTTTTACCGACGTGACTTTACCGAAAAAACCTTGGAGGGTGCATCAATGAGTCTGGCTCTGTGAGTCCCGGTCGCTCGTGCGTGTGTGTGTGTTACGTCTTCTGTCTCATGTCTGTGTTCCGTCTGATGATGATCATTAGCAGCAACAGCAGCCATGGTCAGTCTCTATATATGTGTGCGATGTTGTTGGGAGAATACGATGTGGGGAGCGGTGGCGCAGTGGTTACCGCACTGCGCTGCGAAACCGGCGACCTCGAGTTCGATTTCCCTCTCACGGCCAACACCGGTGGCGATTATCTGAACCGGTCCTGGGCCTCCAACGAGGTCTGCTTAAGTAATTAAGTTTTAAAAAAACATTTCCACGAGGGAGAGACAAAGGCGGCCGGGAGTGGTGCTGACACACCCACCCACCTCGATTACCGTTCTGGACTTTCATCGGCGCTACACACGCTAACAGCACCTGCCACAACAATCTTATGGGGTATCTTTGTCTTTGTATTGATGCGTAAGCGAAGGCACGTGGCAAGTCGTAAATGTTGTCATCGTGCGGTTGTTTCAACCTCGGCGATCCATCCCAACGCTCACGATCCTCATGGTGCCGTAAGCCTCGCCCAATGATCCCCTACGAACCGAGTTGGCTTGACAATAGCGCGCATGCGTTCACATACACACACGTACAGCATTGCATGCGGATACGTAGGGGGGGCTTTTTTTGTTATGAGCGCGTTGTTGAATGTGCGTACTATATGAATGGATAGTGATGATTTATTATGTTACGAATGCGTGCTGACTAGCTGCGTGGCAGGCGCAAACAATAGCTGCCTCGGGGTGGGGGTGGATAAGGAGGTGGTTGTCGGCACTTTAAGCAACAGTGACCAGGGCGGGTGGTTTTATTTGGGTCCCACAGAGCGTGAAGGAGACAAGTGGAATGTCGATTAAATTTGGCAACTCTGATGCAAAACCACCCCACCGAATTTGAGTAAATTTGGCCGCCACCACGCGACACGGCCAACTAGTAAGGGTGGTCACGCAAACAGAACGTGCCAATTCGTCACTAGTGCAGCACACCGGCGTGCAACGACACATTTATATATTTACGCGATCTAACCCAAAAACCTCTATTAGGGATGATATTGGCCGCGAAAGCCTACTACGTGTTAAACGATAATAATGTCATTGACTCTTTCGGAAACAAAAAATCTCGCTCCGAACAAGTAACTGTGATAACACCGGCTGTGGCGACTCTCCCCGTAATCCGGTGCTTTTTTGGTCACGCAGCAGTGTGCGTAGCTACGGAGTGTACAGGCGGTGCAACTGCACCGGCAGCCAGGCGCCCAGGCCATGAAGAGAGGAGTGGACATTGGGACAGGGGACCCACATTGCATTGCTTGCACAAGGGCCCATGCCACGCTACGCTAGTACACCAGTGTCACGCAGATTTGTGAAACTTGGGAACCTGTTGGGTTTGCGAGGTAGCAATGCAGTCTGTTCTCCTATAACGTTGCGTGTTGTTTTCATCGCGCGAATTGGATATAACGCTCAAGTTCAAGTTCATTTATTAGGTATAGCCCTGTGAGCCATTCGGCTCTTGAATTGGGCTCAACCGCAACAAACAAAAAACAAAAACATGAACAAAAAAACATCTTAAAGTGAATATGTGACTGAGTGCAAACAGAAAATCCAAGAAAAGACAGCAAAATATTGCAGAAAAAACACCGTACACCAACGCTGTGTGCAAAAATCCCAGTGGGATGCAAGTCAAACGCGATTGAGCGAACAAAACTCCGTCGCGCGAGTAGAACTAAGCGGTTGTACGGCTGTCTCGGCGTAGCATCACACAAAGCGGGATGCTGCTGGATGCTTCTAGATCCTACCCGCACGCCTCGGTCTTTGTTCGGTCTGCGTACACATCCCATGTGTCATCGCGGACTGTGCTTTACCCTAAGTTTATATGTTACTAGCGGTAAGTACAGACACACACATCGACTTACACACAGACATCGACCCACACACATCAAAACACATCGACTTACACACACACACATATGGACTCACACACACAGACATCGACTTTAGACACACAGACATGGAGTTACACACACACATCGACTCACACACACACATACATAGACTCACACACAAAATGACCTACACACACATATTGACTTACAAAGACACACATATCGACTAAGACACACACACACACATGGACTTACACACACACATGGACCCACGCACACACATCGACTTACACACACACATATCGATGCACACACACACATACATGGACCTACACACACACATATGGACTTACACACACACGTATCGACGCACACACACACACATGGACTCTCACACACATTGCCGTACACACATCGACTGACACACATAGACTCACACAAAAGCACACACATCGACTCACATACGCACATAGAGCCACACACGCACATAGAGCCACACACACATGGACTGACACACACACATGGACTTACGCACACACACACATATACGTCCACACACACATGCACTCACACGCACACATGGACCTATACACACGCAAAGAAATGGACTTACACTGACTGACATGGAGCCACGCACACACAGCGACTTACACGCACGCACATCGACCGACACACACACACACACATATCGACTGACACACACAAACACATCGACTCTCACACACAGACACATCAACTCACACACACGCACATTGGCTCACACACACAGACACATCGACTTACACACACATATCACCGCAGACACGCACATCGACTCACACGCACACATGGACGTAGACACACGCATTATTATTGTTAAAATAAGTAACTTAATTTTCAATTAGTAGTTGTCTACACACACACATACCACGCACACACATTGACTAACACACACATCGACTTATGCACACACACATCGACGGTATGAACTGCTATCACTACAGCAGTGCAAACCGTTTGAGAGCCAAATCCCTCGCAAGCGCGTGAACACAAACAGACAGACAAAGAATGACGTTTATAGGTAAGATTTATTACAACCCGATTTTTCCATACCGCGATGTTCTTCAGGAACACGAAACTACCGCATTATAGAAAAGACTTTACTGAAAGTGGAAATGTAAATCCATCTGTGTGGACCTTTGTGAGCCATCCCAATGTGCGCATGTCATCCAGCGCTGGAGGCGTGAGGGGTTAGCGGATCGCACAAATTCTGTGAAACTCTCTTCTTGTGGGCGTCACGATGCCATACCCTGGCTCGCCAGAAGAAGGCAGTACAGCAAGTAGAACCGTCGCCATCTGTTTCCATCTGCACGGGGATTCGGTGTTGCCCCTCTTACGCGCGTAAACTTTCTCCGCTAGCTCCAGTTTCCTCCCACGTGAGTAATAAACACTTATTATTAATTGGCTGAAAACAGCTTACAATGGAAACCCAATGCAGGACCCTCCTCCTCAAAAAGAGTCATATGGCTCAGGATGGGCTCTCCTGGATAAAAACCTCAAATAAGTACATTTTCTCCACGAACTCCGGGTTCTTCCGCCGTATAACATGCTCCTTCTAAAGGAATTGCCTAAACCGCAAACATTCAAATGCAGTGCCTTCCTGAAAATTGTGCAGAAACTCAGCAAAGCTTTTCATGGATTTATTTGTAAAATGGTTTTGTGTTTCGAGCTGTTGGATCCATTTTCTCTTTGAGGAGTTTTTTTAGGTGGTTACGGGGGGGGGGGGGGAATAGCAGTTGGGCTGGCACCCTGGAGATGATTGATTATAATCTCGGCACCCATCCATGATTAAACCACTTTCCCGCATGAAGCGAGTTCATGGAATTAGACCAGTAACCAATATACAAAAAAACATGTTACGATTAGGCACTGTCAATGAAGATAATGAATTTAAGCTCTTGAGATTTAAGCATTTAATTCGATTCGCATGTAATGAACACCTTGTACGGCATGAAAAACGTGCGCTTGCGGTGACCATGAAGAGGTTCATGGAAGTGACTTCAGAAGTAGTTACGTGATGTTCTTTTCCAGGGAACTTCCTTTTAAAATGTCGTGTCAAGATATGATGGTGATACCGCAATTGTAATACGATGTGTTGTGTTGGGTTAGGTTTAGGTTTGGGTCAAGCTGGGTTGAAGCGAGGTCAGGTTAAAGCCAGGTTGGGTTAAGGCCAGACTTTGGTTTAACCATTTGGGTAGGATGAGGAGCATGCGTGTATGTTGAACTTCTTTTACACCCTACGTAGCCAACGGTGCTGATCGGAGGTGCATGCAACCACTAGCATCTGGGGCAGCAGGGAGAGTGAGGAAGTCTCAGGCGCTTATAATTTTTGGACAGCAAATTTTAAAAAGGAGCTTTCTTTTCGTAAAAAAATCGACAAGAAACCGTGATGTTGACTGGGCCTAGTTGCCGTGTTGTTTTATTTGCAGGTGCCACAATGCCCATCCTGGCCGGGTGAGGAAGGGTTGGGGGGGGGGGGTGATGGGTGCCATGAGGCGGGCACGCTGCTGGCGCGCCCTCGTAGCCGGCCTCATCGTGTCGGCCTGCCTGGGCGCCCTCCTCTACTCTCTGCGGGGCGCGCGACCTCCCTGGATGCTCCCGGCACAACTGCGGTGGCTGACGACCCCAGCACACGAGCAGGTATTGACGGCACTTTACACGTCGGTGGAGTAGGTGGGGGGGGCTGCAGGGGGCTAACCTACCCTGCGGTAAGGGGGGGTTGTGTACGGAGTGCCGGGCGGCTTTTGAGGAGGGCTGTGGACTGGAGCCGAGATGATGCCGCACCTCCGATTAGCACGGTTGGCTACGTACGGTGAGAAATAAATTTAACATATATTTGGGCTGTCCGCCTTTTGGCGTCCTCTGGCCTAACACCGTTTGAGACGAGGCTCAGAGGCTCAAAAGAAAGCTGTCTCTGGTGTTGACCAATTAGTTTCAAGGACAATGCATATATTATCAGAGTACGTTTTTTTGTTTGCATTCTGACCACAAGCATTGTGGTTAATGCAGACATGATTCCTTGTAAAAGGTTTCAGTTTGGTGTTTTAACATCTTAACACCTGTTTTGTTGGCAGAAAAAACAAGGGGGAAACCCCCATTGTCATATTTCGGTACTGGCAAAGGAGATCCCATTACCACGGTTGTCTATCTACAGCAGGGGTCCTCAAACTTACGGCCCGCGGGCCACATGCGGCCCACCGAGGACATTTATCCGGCCCATGGTCACTAATTGGGCTGCGCTTGTGAGCACTAATTGGGCTGCGCTGGTGAGCACTAATTGGGCTGCGCTTGTGAGCACTCATTGGGCTGCGGTGGTGGGCACTAATTGGGCTGCGCTGGTGAGCACTGATTGAGCTGAGGTGGTGGGCACTGATTGAGCTGCGGCGGTGGGCACTCATTGGGCTGCGCTGGTGAATGGTTCAATGGGCCAATTGACTGGACTTGCCCCCCAGGCCTAAGGCTGCCAGCCCTCTCCCGGCTGCGCTTGACTGGCTCTCCCTCCCTCAGCTCCCTCACTTGCCCCTCGGCTCCACTCCCAGTGATATTCCTGTGTGCTGGGGATGTACTGCGATCTGTGAACAAAACTGCAGGTGTAATTAACTTTTTAATGGCACCCGCACCAGTGTGAGCCTGGGGTAAAAGCGGAGTTCCCCCAATCAGACTGCATTGATGGGCAGTGCAGTCTGTATGTCTCTGTGTGGGCAAAGTTATTGCTGGTATATTGTTTTTGTAGCGCTGTATATATATATTGGTATTTTACTAATAGCAATTTTGAGTCCCTAGGAAACAATGATGTCAAGAAAGAGAAAAATTGACTCGGAGTGTAGGATATTCAAAGAACAGTGGACTTATGATTACTTTTTCATGCAGTACAAGGAAAGAGCTGTGTGTCTGATATGCCAGAATATAGTGTCTGTGTTCAAAGAATACAATTTACGTCGACACTATGAAACTCAACATAAAGATAAATATGATTGTTTGGTCGGAGAAGTGAGAAAAGATAAAATATTAAAACTGAAAAATACATTAACAACTCAGCAAAATACTTTTGTGAAGCAGAAGCAGCTAAATATTTCATCACTGCGAGCAAGTTTTCAAGTTGCCAAGCTAATAGCGTGCACTGGCAGACCATTCGTGGAGGGAGAATTTGTTAAAGAATGCCTTCTTTCTGTTGCCAAAGAGATGTGTCCAGAGAAGGCCGATTTATTCAGTACAGTGAGTCTTTCAGGACCTACAATTACACGGAGGATTGAAGAAATGGGAGACAATTTGCATCGGCATTTGCAAAACTCCACTAAAAAACTTTCCTATTTTTCCTTGGCACTCGACGAAAGCAATGATGTTCGTGATTCTGCACAACTTCTAATTTTTATTCGTGGGACGAATGACTATTTTGAAGTCACAGAAGAGTTTGCTGCACTGCAAAGCATCAAAGGAACAACTACAGGAGAGGATATCTATGAAAAAGTTTGCCAAACTGTGAATGGTTTGGAGCTGAACTGGGCTAAACTAGCCAGTGTGACAACTGATGGTGCTCCTAGCATGGTGGGGTCTAAGAAAGGAGTAATTGCTCGCATTAACCAAGAGATGGACAAACATAACCATTCTCATCCAATAGCCATACACTGCCTCATCCACCAACAAGCGCTGTGTAGTAAATCACTGAAGTGGGACTCTGTTATGAAAATTGTGGAATCTTGTGTTAACTTCATTAGAGCTCAAGCACTAAACCACAGACAATTTCAGGAATTTCTGTCTGAACTAAATGTTGACTATGAAAATGTTCTGTACCACACAGAAGTCCGTTGGCTGAGTCGAGGGAGAGTTTTGAAACGTTTCTATGACTTACTTCCACAGATTACAGCTTTTCTGCTTTCAAAAAACAAAAAAGTACCAGAGCTCAATGATGCAGAATGGAAATGGCACCTTGCCTTTCTGACAGATGTAACAGAGCTACGCAACAGTTTCAATGTGCAACTTCAAGGAAAGGGGATGCTCATCTGTGATATGCAATCACATGTCAAAGCATTTGAAGTCAAATTAGGCCTCCTCATCAAACAAGTTAAGGAGGAAAACTTCTGCCATCTCCCCACAACTCAAAATCTGTTAGCGGAAAAAACATTGGTTGCAATTCCCAAACAAAACATGTGTGGATTCACTGGAAAAATTGCAAAAGGAGTTCCAATTTAGATTTAAAGAGCTTCATCTCCATGAACAGGACATACAGCTTTTCCGTAACCCATTTTCTATTGACATTGAAAATGTGGATACAATTTACCAAATGGAACTGGCTGAACTGCAGAATTGTGACTATCTGAAAGACGCATTCAAGTCAAGCAGCCTTCATAATTTCTATCCATCTCTCCCCTCTGAGACATATCCTCATCTCAGGAACCATGCACTCAAAATGGCAACCATCTTTGGCAGCACTTATGTCTGTGAACAGACTTTTTCCAGAATGAAACATTTGAAATCTCCAACCAGATCTAGACTAACGGATGCACACTTGCATCACTTGTTACGACTAGCAGTGACAAATATGGAACCGGACATTGACCATCTCATTAGCCAAAAGCAGGCCCATAGTTCCCATTGAAATACTGGCAAGTTTGTTGATTTAACTTTACTTGTTCTTCATTTTAAATATTGTATTTGTTCCCGTTTTGTTTCTTCACTTCAAAATAAGATATATGCAGTGTGCATAGGAATTTGTTCATAGTTTTTTTTTTACTATAGTCCGGCCCTCCAACGGTCTGAGGGACAGTGAACTGGCCCCCTGTTTAAAAAGTTTGAGGACCCCTGATCTACAGTTTCGTTTAACACGTCGGGGATCTGTGATTAAATTCCAGTCTCAGATTTTAATTCACCTTCAACCCACCCCGAGATTACTTCAGTAATCTGTGATAGATTGAATGCGCTGTTAGTTTTTATTTTGGCTGTGAATGGTATGTATTCGTCATCAATCATTATCAATCCACCACGTTATTGCTATCTCTCCCGGTCTTGCCAGATTGGGTTTAGGCTAAATCGGGTTTATACGAGGGAAGGTTTAATCTCCATTGGGTTTAGGCTAAATCGGGTTTATACTAGGGGAGGTTTAATCTCCATTGGGTTTAGGCTAAATCGGGTTTATACTAGGGGGGGTTTAATCTCCATTGGGTTTAGGCTAGATCAGGTTAATACTAGGGGAGGTTTAAGCCCCATTGGGTTGAGACTAAATGGGGTTTTCAGCATCTGGGTGGCGTGAGAAGAAGAGCCGGGAAGTCACGTGTAGTTGTTGACGAGCACTACAGCTCATATTGGCGACCCACAAATGTCCGGCGTGGGCTGCCGTGCAGATGGAGAGCGGTCCCCTGGTGAGCCGTACCGCTGTTCGTGTGCGTGCGTGCGTGCGCTTCATCAAGACCGTAGTAACTACATTTGTTTAGTTTTTTACCAGGTAAGGCCCACTGAGCTACATAGTTCTTGTGCAGAAGTGACCTGGCCACACATGATAGCCCGGCGTAGTGGCTTATTACGTGGAAATGTATAGCAGCCAAATACTCTAAACACGTGTTTCTAAATGTAAAGGGGGAAACTGGAGGACCCGGAGAAAAGTCCACGTGAACACGGGGCGAGAGACACGCAAACTCCTAATATACAGCAGCAGCAGGCTTCAGGGTCAGGATCGAACCCACGACCTCCTGCATACCAGGCGAGGTAGTTAACATCTCGCCACCGTGGCGCCCAGAACATGGGGGCAGACAGGAGTTGCCTCTGTCTGGGCACACACAAGTTTGTGTTGCTGGTTGTAACCACAAGCGGGTTTAATCTTAGCAACAAAATACATTCCTAAAATAACTGTTCATCGTTAGTTCTTCATTTGGCCAGATGGCGCACTGCTTAGACCATCATAAGGTTGTAACGATCATCACGACATGGTCGATAAATTGAGTACCGATGTCTGAGAAGTCATATGGACAGACTAGCCCCCCCACCATCATCACAATGGATAACATCCACCACTAACTTCAGAACCGCCAACAGATTGTTAACACCTAAGGTGGACACCTGCTCAACCACATTATACCGACTTCAGACTCTTGTATAATTCCCTAGCCTGTTTGTATGTATGTTGAACTTCTTTCACACCGTACGTAGTTTACTGATTTCAATTAACGATGACGCATTCCCACTTCAACAGCTCCACCTTTGAGACAAATCACTTCCCCAGTGCTAACATGCATTAAAATCCCACTCGCCAAATAAACGCAGACAAAGCGCTGCTATTATTACGCATATGGAGAAGCAATAACGGCGAGTTAGGCTGAGACTGCAAAGGCTGTAGCCGCGGTTCATGGGCAGGGAATGTGCTGAGAGGTGGAGAATGAGAGGGGCAGATGCATGCGGGGGGCTGCAGGGTTCAGAAATCAACCACACGTGTACACACGAAAGGCGGGTCACAGGCAAGTCTCACCCCGACAGCACCGCACAGGAAATTGACACCACCCCACACATGCACAGGCAGTCTGCATACCAGGCAGACGGACAGATGCCTTGCCACACGCGCACCAGACACATACACACAAGACAAAGATCCCCCGTATAGCCTTAACAGACTTTTTGGGGCAAGTGCTGTTGGCGAGCATAAGGCCGGCACT